GCGCCAACTCTTGGTGAGTCCACACAGAACAGCAGTGCGCCCACCCAGTCCTGTGTCCCTGTCACGGCTGCCAGTGTGCGTCGTGGTGTCCACCTGGCTCATTGGCTTGCTTCAGGTGTGTTTGTTCTCACTGGTCCTCTGCTTGACCAACCACTGCATCCCTTTCCCTCCCGCGACCGGTCTCTCCTGAGGACACTCGAGCCAGGAGGGTGACGTGAGTGGCGTGAGCAAGATGGAAGCCTGTCCGGCCTCGCTCCTCAGGAGCAGGATTTCCTGTTGGATTTTTCGCGGCTGGATCTGTTTGTTCTTCCAGCACAGTGGTTCCCAACCTTTCTCATGCCGTGGCCCTTTAATACCGTTTATGTGATGGTGGCCCCCAACCACAAAACTATTTTTGTTGCTACTTCATCAATGTCATTTTGCTACTGTTAGGAATTGCCGACCCCTGTGAAAGGATCGTTTGACAACCCCAAAGGGGTCGCGGCCCACAGGTTGAGAACCGCTGTTCTAGCAGGTCCACGCGGTATACAACCCTCTCTGCCGACAGCACAGCGTGGGTGCATCGACTCGTCTTCTGTCTTCCTCTTTCACAACTGGCCTCCGACTCATTCTCGACACGAGCAGACCCCGCACCTGGAATGACCCCCGCATGGAGGAGTGCAAGGACCAGGACGGCAGAGCTGTCCCTTCATGCAAAGAAGGGCTAGCTCCTGTGGAGGGGCGCTCTCGATGTCCCTTCTTGTCCTCGTCACCTGGATCGGTTAGGAGCGCAGGCTGGGAAGTCAGGCAGGCCGGGGGTTCAAATCCTGGCTCCCGCACTCACGGGCTGTGTCATTTTGGACACACAGCTGGGTCACTTGGCTTCCTTCCTGCACACCGGGGATTATGGTGCTGCCTTCTGCACTGCATTGTGCTCAAGATGAGGTGACATCATCAGTCGGAAGTGCTTAGCTAATGCCCTGGACACCCTGTCGTCGTGGTTGTTAGGTGCCCTCCAGGCAGTTTCAACTAAAAGGCACCTGCGAACAGCAGAACGAAGCACCGCCCGCACCTGTGCCGCCCTCACAACCGGCTATGTGTTTGCACCCAGCCACGCAGCCGCGTGTCCCTCCCTCTCCTTCACTGCCCTGCCAGGTCATCAAGCGGGATGTCCTTCTCCAGGGACTCTCCTGTCGACACGTCCAGAGTACGCGTGATGAAGCCGTGCCATGCTCGCCTCTAAGGGGCGTTCTGGCTGTACTTCTTTCAGGGCAGATCCGTTTGTCCCTTGGGCGGTCCATGTACTTCAGTATTCTCTGTCAGCACCATCCATCAAACACACCGCTTCTTCCTCACTCCTCCCTACTCCATGTCCAGCTTTCGCGCGCATACGAGGCGACTGAGTCACGGTAGGCGCTCCGTATCAACTTGGTGGTGGGGGTGAGATATCGAGACGCTAACCGTGTTTGAACAGGAGCCCTGGTGGTGTTGTGGGTCACATGTTGGCCTGCTAATGGTAAAGTTAGCAGTTTGAAACCACCAGCTGCTCCTTGGGAGACAGATGAGACTTTCTATTCCCATAGGGTGGCAGTCTCGGAAACCCACAAGGGCAATTCTACCCAGAATGATGTTTGAGTCTCCCCCGTGGCTTGGGGGGACCCTCTGCTTCATCCACTGTGGCGTCCTTTGGATGCACTTCTCTGACACTCTGCTATGACTTTCTAAAGACCCCCTTTTCCTCAAGGTTCTTTCTTGCATTTTCCTAGGCATGGTCTTTAAAGTGCTTTTAATTTGTTAAAACGAATTGGCAGGAGTTGGAAAACTGGAGCCTGCTCGATGGTCAATGGTCACGGCAGCCCCCACAGCACCCGCTGGTTGTCGCGAGTCTCTGACCCAGAGAGCAGGAGAGACGTGTTTCCCCCAACAGGAAGGGGAGAGGCTTTGGCGGTTCCATGGTAGAATGTTCACCTTCCTTTGGGAGACCCAGGGGCCCTGGCAGGGGACTGGTTCTTCACTGGGCTGCTAATTGCAAGGTCAGCCGTTGAAACCCGCCAGGCCAGTGGGAGAGAGCTCAGTTTCAGCAAGTCACAGGGGTGGTTCTTCCCGGCCCTATGGGATCTCTCGGCCCATGGGATCTCCCGGCCCTATGGGATCTCTCGGACCTATGGGATCTCCCGGCCCTATGGGATCTCTCGGCCCTATGGGATCTCTCGGC